CACTGCGCGGTGAAGCTCGTGCTGAACGGGCGCATGACCGAAGAGCCCATTGGGAGCCTGAAGAGGCTTAGACCTGAGCATTTTCTTAAGGTGTAGGGATCAGGGTGAAATGCAGATGGGCTTTGGCACCTCGAAAATCAATCCGTCTTGTGATTCACCGATTGCAGATTCAAGCCTCGAAAATTCATCGACACGGCATTCCAGATTTCACCCTGTGCCCTCCACCCAAAGAAGATGCTCGGTAGACCCTTCCCGCGCGAGAGGCCGACCAGGCCAACGCGCCAGGTGACCCCGCCGCCGCCAGAGCTGGCCGAGCTTGGCGAGCGGGCCGCCGACGGCCCCGAGGCCACGGAGACAGTCTGCGCGGGAGCGCTGGAGCTGTGGCCGAGGCCGAGTTCTGCAGCACTTCCCTCGTCGACGACCCGAACGGGATCCAGGCCCACTGCCTTGAGCAGGGACCGACCGTCCCGGCATTCCTATAGTCCAACCACGAAATGCTCTTAGAACCCAAAAATGTTCTAAGAACCTAAAGGCTCTTAGAACATACACCCGATGTGTGACTACAAGGCAGACTCCGCCAGACATGTTCTAAGAACATTTCGTGGAAGCCACAAAAGGCTCTTAGAACATTGCTTGATAGGGCTATAGGCGAGCCAGGACGCTTCGCCACTGCTTGGCTACGGGCGGAACCAGGCAGCGGGCGGCCCCGAGGCCAGCGGGAATGCGCGCTACCTCGTGGCCGTCGCGGACGAGCTGGCTGACGCGGCGGAGGGCCGCCAGGGCAGGCGCCGCGAGCCGAGGCGGGCAGCACGATGCTGCGGGGCCCTGGGACACACAAATAAATACACACAAATAAACATATCCCCCATATTTCCCCATATTTTCTGGGTTTCTGTCTTCCCCGCACTTCCCATATTTTCCTATATTTTCTGGTGAATCGACGATTAATTGTGTCTGTGTGTTTCTTTTCCTCCTGAGATGCTGCGGGGCCAGGTGGGTCGCCGCGATCGCCTCGCGTTGCGGAGGCAGCGCCCGGCGGCCCAGCTTGGCTCGCGGCCGAGGCCCGCGCAGGCGCGGTCCACCCTCGAGGCCGAGCACGCTGGGGAGCGGACCGCGAACTTCCACCGCTGGGCGCCGGCATCGCCGGAGCAGGGGGCGGACGGTCTCCGCGCACGGCAACGCGGCCCCCAAGGATAGCAAGCAGAGGAACCCGACCCCAGGGGCGACCCGCGAGCTGGTCAGCGCGAGGTGGACGCGGTGGACGCCTCCTGGGCCCGAGGAGTATGGAGCATCGCGGACGGCTGGACGGATGGCTCGACTTCGAGAGGCAAAGCGACACAACCGCACAGACCAGGCCGACCGTGAAGGAGCGAAAGTACGCGGCGAGGTCCTTCGCCGGGCGCGCGGGATGAGGACGCCGCCGCACCCGCAGCTGCAGCCGCGGCTGGGGCAGCCGTGGCCGAGCCGCTGGCGGCGGCCGCGAGGGTGTCACGCCAGCACGGCGCAGAACCGCCGCCTGTGGTCCTCCCGCGAGGGCGGCCCACGCGCCGGTGCTCCGCGCGACCTGCGGCGGCTGCTGCGCGGACGGCCCCGCGGAGTGGTTGGGCCCCGCGCGGAGAGCAGCGGCAGGCAGCCGCGCTGCGCCGAGGAGGAGGAGGAGGAGGAGGAGGAGGAGGAGGAGGAGGAGGAGGAGGAGGAGGAGGAGGAGGACCGCGCGTGGGGCCGTGGCGGGGCGGCCCCGACGGGGGGCGACGGGGCGCGAGGGCCCGAGCCGCTGCGCCCCGGGCGACGGCGGGAGGCCGCGGAGCCGCTGCGGTCGGGGCGCCGAAGCCGGGCGGTGGGGCCAGCGGCTGCGGCAGCCCGCCGTGCGCTGCTGGCCCTCCGCCGTCGGGCGCGGGCCCGGAGCGCCCCGGCGCACGTCCCCTTCTTCGAGCACGGCATCGGCTGCAGAATCGATCCACTCCAGGACTCAGATCTCCTGCCGAGTTCACGAGTCGCCCGGGGTTCGAACGGACACATCTCTATTTCGGTGCGTATCGATTATGTAGTCGGCTCCCTCCTACTCGACTTCCCCCTGTTCCCCACGCCGTGGGGCCGTCACCACGCTACAGGCGGCTGCTCTCTCTCTCTCTCTCTTTCTACGGCGTGCTGGCCTGCTGGCCTGGCACGCCGCCTCTGTGCAGGCCGTGCGCAGGGGCCTCGGCACGTTGTGTGAGGGCGACCAACCCTTAGGAGCCCTCCCTCGTGGCCTGGATTCGGCTTGGTATTCTGGGCGGCGCTGGCTTGGGCCAGCGAGGGCCTTGGGGCGCCGCTGTGGGCCCTGTGGGTGCCTCGGGTCCCCGTCTCAGTCGTGCGAGACTTGAAATCCAGTGCGGCAGGTGATCAGAATCATCATCATCATCATCATCATCATCATCATCATCATCATCATCATCATCATCATCATCATCATCATCATCATCATCATCATCATCATCATCATCGTCATCGTCATCGTCATCATCATCATCATCATCATCATCAGTCGCATCATCATCATCATCATCATCATCATCATCATCATCATTACCATCACAATCAGCATCAGCATCATCACCATCACCATCAGCATCATCAGCATCGCAATCACAGTCGCCATCACCATTACCATGATCCGCATCATCATCACTATCACCATCACCATCACCATCATCATTGCCATAATCACAATCAACATCATGATCATCAGCATCACCACCATATTCGTCATCCTCTTTGCCATAACCATCATCATCCTTAGCATCATCATCGTCATCATCACCATCAACATCATCATCACCATCACCATCACCGCCATCATCATCATCAGCATCATCAGCATCATCATCATCATCATCATCATCATCATCATCATCATCATCATCACTACCACCACCATCACATCATACTCACCATCACCATCACCATTACCATCACCATCACCATCCTCATCTTCATCCCCATCCTCATCCTAATTTTCATCCTCATCCAAATCTTCCTCCTCACCCTCCCCCTCCTTCTCCTCTCATCCTCCTCCTCCTTCTCCTCCCTCCTGCCTTCTCGTCCGAGCTCCGGTCCCGCCCTTACGGCCTGACAGGTGAGGGATCCGGTGCCACGTTGGCGCCCTCCCTGCCCAAACCCCCAACGGCTTTCGCCGCTGGGGGTGGGCGGAAGAGAAACTTAGGTGGCAACTCCTCGGAGGTCACGTCAGAAAGATTAAGAGCTATTGAATCCGATTGAGGGGCCGTTGAGCCGGACTAGGGCGGCTTATGCCTGTGACTGAGCCAGGTTGAGCGGGATTCAGTTGGATTAAGCGAGATTCAGCTGGATTGAGAGGGACTGCACTGGATCAGGCTGGCTTTCGAATAGGGATTCTGAATCGAACCTCCCAGGAGTTGCATCCTAAAGTAGCGCACTGACAGAGAGGGAGGAGGAGGAGGAGGAGAGCGGCCACGCGGCGATACGACGGAGGCCGACGACGAAACGATCCCCCATGCCTCTCCCCCAAGTGGAGGGGCGGGGGAGAGCAGGCCCGCACACCAGAGCGAGGTCCCACGGGGCACCCGCACCACGACCCGTTCGAGGGTCGCTTCCGATCTTTCTGTTGAGGGCTCTGCGTCCGGCTGGGCGGGAGGAGGCGGAGGTGGGCACGGGGATCGGGGGGAGGCTGGGGGGACGAGGTGGAGGGAAAGGGCCAGGGGAACCAGGAGAAGAGAGGGACTGAGGGCAAGGAGCAAAGGAGAGAGGATGACTAACTGTACGGAATGATGCGACATCCCTGTGGGCAGGAGGGGGTGGGTACGGAAGGGCATCACACGCCTGTCCATCATAAAACGAACCCATTATAATCAATATAATGTCATAATAATTTTGATAAGTCATTGAAATCATAACTCGCAGAATTAGCAGACTCTCCTACGTATTCCATGGTTTAGACTGGCGTCTCCGCTGTACCGTGATCGTGCCCTGATTCCCCTGCTGGCTGTCTAATGCTCCTCAATTCAATGCGTGGACTTCGTTGACTTCGTAGAATTCCAGGGGGAGGGAAATAGGTCGGACACCCTTCGCGTGTTCTTCCTGTTTCCCGCCTGCGTCTCCATTATCCGTTCTCTCTCGCCCTCTCCTTCGGTGCCTCCTTTGCCTTCTCTTACGCTCGAGTGGGCCTGGCCTGATTCCGATGAACTCTGACCTCGCGATGTCACACGGACAGTCCTTCAGCATGGCCTGGCTATCAACAATTTCAAGGTCGCCCACTACATGTTCAATCGCTTCGTAAGTGTCCTCAATCGTTGAGTGCACAGCGCAACCAGAGAGGCCTCCGCGAGGACCTCGAAAGCCCCCCGAGAGCCCGAGAGTCCTCAAGAAGGCCTCCAACTGCCCCACTATGTGCAAACATGCCACTGCCTGCTCGTCGTCGTCCTTTTCCTCCTCCACCTCCTGCACACTGGTCGGACGATTGGCGGGTACTTTACCAAAACAGGACACTCCGTGGCTCCCGCTATGCTGGATCAATGTGTTACTCATCTCGATCAGAAAAGATTTGTACTCACGAAACTGTTCCTCCTCCTTTTCCAACTGCATGACATACACCCACACTTCGGTTAGCACCTCGAGGGCGTAACGGAAAGAGGTAGCACGCAACTGATTGACCCCATTGCTGCAATATCATGCTAGAAAATGGTCTCCCAAACGCATGGCTGAAACAAATGCATAAGACGGAAAACCTCTCCGGCAAGAGTGGCACAACACAACAACTCGCCAAGCCGATCAATGCGAACCAATGTCTAAGACTGTCATCTAGTTCAGTCGTTTATCTGACGAGACTGGAAGGTTTGAGGGCTTGGGGGCTGCTGAGACGTGCAAGGTGTGCGTGTGCCCAAGACAACGTCAGGACACATGTGTGCGCATCCAGCACAATATTCTGGGCTATCCGTAGCTCACCAACAACAGCCCACTGCAATGCTACTTCGTGAATGCCAATTTTCCTCTTACTGCTGCTCATCCACTTCTTACTTCTCCTCATCCCTTGCCCGCAAGAGATCTCCGCAGGTCCACTGCGCGTACGGTTGGCGCTGAAAAGATAGCGTGCAGCATCGATCTCCGAAAAGCACGTCATCCCAGCGAGGCGGTCCCCCTGCGAGGGTCCCTCCTGTGCACGCTGGTCCCTGCCAGGACTTGTTCGGTGCACGCTGTGCCCTAGGCGGGGGGATAGCGTTCCACAAGCGGGCCGGCGGCGCCACACCGGAAGCCATATTTTTGCAACGCCACCCGTAAGTGAAGGACAGGCTTGGACGCGCCCAGTCAGTCTGCCAGCGCTCCTTGGCGCAGGTCGTGACATCAGGGCCTGCACGCCTGCCAGGCAGCCTTGGGCCTTGGGCCCAGCCCATGCCAGGAGCAGGACTTCATAGAAGCAGAAACTGACTGCAGAAACATAAACTTTTGGCGCTCCGCGCAGATTTCTCGGATCCGCGCTGGACCACCCTCCCTGGCGCGTGGAGCGCGCCAAGGGCGGCGCCAGAGGCGCCGCCGGGGGGCCCAGCGCGGATCCAAGAAGTCCGCGCTGGGCGCAAAAAGTGTATGTTTATAAGAGGCACACTTCTGGGCCCATGAGGTTGGGCGTCGGAGGACTACATGTTCTCTGCATGCCGTCCGCTGCTTCGTGGGTCTCCGGGGGGGCGCCCTCGTCGCCAAGGGGTCAGTCGCCCGAGAAGGGAGAGGGCCGGGGAGCGCCGGGGAGGACAGGAGGAGGAGCAGGAGGAGAGGAGCAGGAGAAGGAGGAGGAGGAGGAGGGGGAGGGGAGAGTGGGCAATGGGGGAGGAGGGGGAGGAGGAGGAGGAGGAGGAGGAGGAGGAGGAGGAGGAGGAGGAGGAGGAGGAGGAGGAGATGGAGGAGTGGGCTAGTGGTGAATGGGAGGTGGAGGGGGAGGAGGAAGAGGAGGAGGAGGAGGTTCTGACGGGAGCACGCCCGAGGACAGCGTCCAGGGGGCGACCTGTGAGAGCGGAGGGGGGCCCTCCCATATCAGAAGTGCGGTTCCCTGCTCGTGGCACGGGCTGCCTCGTTGCGGCGGCGCGCCCGGGGGGGGAAGTGAGAAGGAGAAGGCCTTCCCAGAAGGCTCGGACGACCCCCGGCCTTCTGGGAAGTCTTCCACGCCTTCCCCGAAGACGCCCAAAATCTTCGCTCGGAAGGCGCGAGGGCTTCTGAGAAGTCCCCCCGCCTTCTGAGACGGCCTTCTCTGATAAACAAAAATGGCCCCCTAACCCTTTGGGAGGGGACCTAAGTTAGGAGGGCCAACAACATTAGGGATAGGGAGTCCTTTCTGCAGATGTATCGTACCAAACCGCCCAAATGTCTTATCCCTAATGCGAAGACGGGGGCCTCGGTGAGGCCAAAATGTCATTAGGGTTTTTTTTCTCGATGATTATCCTTCTCACTTCCCCCCTTCGCTCGCCGCCGATCGCTGCCCAGAGCCGAGGACCCCATGGCAGCCAGAGCCATTCACGACGCACGTGGGCCAAGGGCTCATGCCTTGGCCTGCCCTGCCCTTGTGACAGGAGCGCGCACGCGCACCCTGCGCATGCTTGAGCTTGGTCTCCGCACGAGCGTTTCCCCCCGCATGCCCCATTGCCTGAACAATCGGCCCGTATCATAAGGACGCGCGGAAAGGATGCAAGTCAGAAGCTGGGAGAGGCCTGCTAAAACCGGCTGCTAAAACGGCCCTCCCGGACGGAAAAAACAACTTCCCGGAATGAGGCGCGGCACGCGAAACAGTGAACGGGCTTCTTCCCGGAGGGACGAAGACAACTTCCGGGAGGTCGATTTAAGCAGCCACGGATTTAGCAGCCCTCGCCCGGCTTCCGAGCAAGGGCCTTGGGTACCCCTTTCGAAGCCTTTCGAGCGGGGCAGGGCCAGCGAACGTGGCGAAGGATGGACCGGGGAGGCAGGGATGCAAGGGTACCCTTGGGAAGGCTGCCAATACTTGCTGTGCGGGTTGCCTGTGTTCCCCCACGTGCCCCATTGCCTGCATCAGCTTCCGCCAACGAGCCCTGAACTCTTTGAAACTGCAGGTCCTGCAGATGCCTCAAAAGCAAGCAAAACATGACACTCTCTCCCTCCCTGGCGACCCTGCCAAGTCCTGACACAGAGCTTTCTACCCGTGGGGGTGGAACTGGATGCGATTGAAACGTGAGCGTGGGGGCTCGCGCACGGGTGGATCAATTCGCCTTCTGGAGCCCGTCGAACCAAACAACGTATGTATCCCTTGCTTTATCTGCGACCACTTTCTCGTAGTACTTAGCTGGTTGCGCGCGAAAAATACCGTTTGACGTGGAAATGCCACCCGCTCTGTGCGGGAAACCAGCATAGTTGAGCATATCCACGTCATTGGGAACCTTCTAATCCTCTTCAGCCGTAGCCGTGGCTTCGTACCACTTAAGCCACCCTCTGGTCAGACCTCCTTGCCCATTCGTTTTTTCCAAACCATCCTGTGGTGTTGGGACCTCGTTTTGAAGAGACGGTGGCCCGCGTCTCCTCTCCTCCTCTCCTCCTCCTCCTCCTCCTTGCGTTTCACCCACCCAGCACAGCGTTTCGTAGCCCCATACGGAGCTCCACCGAAGGCCCCAGTGGCAGGGTTCGCATGGCGGCCTCGGGCCATGCCGGCACACCGCTGACGAGGATCGTGGCCCCGTAGGGAGCTCCACCGAAGGCTCCAGTGGCAGGGGTCGCATGGCGGCCTCGGGCCATTTCGGCACACCCCTCACGAGGATCGTGGCCCATAAGGGAGCTCCACCGAAGGCGCCAGTGGCAGGGTTCGCATGGCGGCCTCGGGCCATTTCGGCACACCCCTCACGACGATCGTAGACCCATAAGGGAGCTCCACCGAAGGCGCCAGTGGCAGGGTTCGCATGGCGGCCTCGGGCCATTTCGGCACACCCCTCACGAGGATCGTGGCCCCATAGGGAGTTCCACCCACTGCCCCCAATGGCAGGGTTCGCATGGCGGCCTCGGGCCATTTCGGCACACCCCTCACGACGATCGTGGACCCATAAAGGGAGCTCCACCGAAGGCGCCAGTGGCAGGGTTCGCATGGCGGCCTCGGGCCATTTCGGCACACCCCTCACGAGGATCGTGGCCCCATAGGGAGCTCCACCGAAGGCCCTAGTGGCAGGGTTCGCATGGCGGCCTCGGGCCATGTCGGCACACCCCTCACGAGGATCGTGGCCCCATAGGAGCTCCACCCCCCAGTGGCAGGGTTCGCATGGCGGCCTCGGGCCATTTCGGCACACCCCTCACGAGGATCGTGGCCCCATAGGGAGCTCCACCGAAGGCCCAGTGGCAGGGTTCGCATGGCGGCCTCGGGCCATTTCGGCACACCCCTCACGAGGATCGTGGCCCCATAGGGAGCTCCACCGAAGGCGCCAGTGGCAGGGTTCGCATGGCGGCCTCGGGCCATTTCGGCACACCCCTCACGAGGATCGTGGCCCCATAGGGAGCTCCACCGAAGGCGCCAGTGGCAGGGTTCGCATGGCGGCCTCGGGCCATTTCGGCACACCCCTCACGAGGATCGTGGCCCCATAGGGAGCTCCACCGAAGGCCCCAGTGGCAGGGTTCGCATGGCGGCCTCGGGCCATTTCGGCACACCCCTCACGAGGACCGTGGCCCCACTGGAGCTCCACCGAAGGCGCCAGTGGCAGGGTTCGCATGGCGGCCCCGGGCCATTTCGGCACACCCCTCACGAGGATCGTGGCCCCATAGTTGTGCTGCTTCAACAACCGCGCCTGGGCGTCGTACTCCGCCTTGTCGACGTGCAACGCCACCTCCTCCCTCATGGCTCTCAAGGCCCTTTCCTGCTTCTGCTCCTCGGTGAGAGGGACGCCGTCCTTGTCGTCGTCGGCGCCCGCGAAGACGGCCACGAACGTGTCCCTGAGCATGTCGGGCTCCGGCGTGAAGCCGTGGCCAGATAGGGAGCGCGGGCGAAGATGGTATTCACAATTGCGGTATTCACAACTGCATATGGTTGGGTCCTTCGCCAGGATAACTCAATGGTCGCCAGCAGCGCGTGCACATGGAAATTGAAGCAAACTGCGACGGCATAGGGAGCCGCTGCCGGAGTTAAGAGAGACACCAGAGTGGACCTGAAGGAGGGATCAGAACTAAGGGGATGACGTATAGGCGAGGGGGGAGCAGAACCGAGGGAGGAAGGGAGCAATACTGAGGGGCGGGACTCAGTCCCTCAAGTGGAGACGTCGTAAGCCGTGGACGCGAGATCTCAGGCACGAGAAACCCTGAGATCCGACGTTGCGAGAAAAACGACAAATCGCCGACAATCATGGCCGGAGCCCTAGACCCCATGTTCCTGCTGCATCTTTCCGACCCGAGCTGTGATGGTCCCGGGGCCCGAAGCTGAGCAAAAAAAAAACGCCCGTTGTAACGAAAGTCGCGACGCAAGGATCCCGGGGAACGCCCCAGGACGAACGGTCAGGATTGCAGTGGATCCGCCCTCGCGTCGCCAGGGCGCGAGTCTGCAGCGCTGGCTCTGCGAGGAGTCAGGCTTCGGGTTTTGCTCACGCACAGCCCCCCAGGTGCTCTCGGCTGGCCTCAACAAGCCATCCGCGAAGAGTCTGGGGCGGTCCCAACACCCCTGCCATGGGGCGCAGAGCGCCCCATGGTAGGGGTGCTAAGCGCTGGTTGCTCATCGCGACCATGTCTTGACATGTCTGCTTTCGGAGGCCTCTGGAGGCCTCCAAGGGGGGAGCCTCCGGGGACCTCCCAAGGGGTTCAGGATGGGGGGGCATTCTCAAATTTACCGGGTGGGGGAGGAGGATCTGCAGACGCGCTTGGGCTTTCAGATGGTGCGCATGGATGTGGGGGGTGCTGAGCACGCATAACGGGCTTCGCACGAGAAGCCTACCCCCTGAGGAAGTTGTTGAACACCATTGGCGTTGCAACCCCGTGCGAATCCAGAGGTTTACCTGCGCACGTGAATATGATTATACCTCCGAGCGATGCCAACGCTGTTGTAAGATTGAATCAAGAGGCTCAGGGCTCTGATTGTCTGAGCGAATCTCGATGTCGGGAACGGGTGCATCGAAATGAAAGGCAGAGTCTGGCAGCGCGCACCGATCCAAGATCCACGTCATCACCAGTCGAGCAGCAGAAGGCGCGACAAAGAAACTCACACCTTACATACGCGCGCGCCACCAACGGTGTTCGGTATGAAAAGACGTTGGCCAAGCTCGCCCGAATAGCTCCAACGATGCCCGGTGTAATCTTCTTCAGAGTGAGGGGGGCGAACGGTCATTCATTGTCCCTGGGTGCGTGACTGAAGTGGGGATCCGTGGTGAGGATGCTGCTTGTTGCATTGTTGTTGTTGCTGTTTTTTGTCGTCGTCGTCCCCCGCCACCCACCTGCGACCCACCCCGCGACCCGACCCGCGACCCACCCCGCGACCCACCACGCGACCCATCCGCGACCCAACCCGCGACCCACCCGCGACCCACCCCGCGACCCACCCGCGACCCACCCGCGACCCACCCGCGACCCACCCGCGACCCACCCCGCGACCCACCCACGACCTATCCCGCGACCCACCCGCGACCCACCCGACCAACCCGCGACCCACCCGCGACCCACCCGCGACCCAACAGCGACCCACCCGCGACCCGCCCGCGACCCATTTGCGACCCACCCGCGATCTACTCCCATTGGTTTAACGAAAAAAGCGGAGCCTGCGGCGGGCTCGTTGTATAATTTGTAAACTTTGGCGCCTGCGGTGCGCTTCTCCAGAGTCTCGCACACCTGCCGACGTCCCCACCGCCCCCTCACTCTTATCCGCATCTGCGGGGTGCTACGTACTTTCGAGCAGCGACCGACCGTCCCGGCATTCCTACAGGCCTAACACGAAATGTTCTTACAACCGAGAATGCTCTAAGAACACAAGCCGTTTTCTTAGAACGTAAACCTGATGCGCTACGACAAGGCAGTTCCAGCCAAACATGTTCTGATCGTGCTAGCCACGAATAGTCGTTAGAACATTATTTGGCGGGCGTGTGAGACAACCAGGACGCGTCGCCACCGCTTGATACTAATCCTCCTACCTTCTCCTTGTCCTCGCTCCCCCGTCCTTCCCTCCCCTCTCCTGCCCAGACTTCCTCCTGCAAGGTGCCGGCTGGTGGGCATCTGATTTACTGGGTTGGGAAGGGGTGAAGGGGCCCCAGGACACACAAATAAATACACACAAATAAAAATAGTCCCCATATTTTCCCATATTTTATGGGTTTTTGTCTTCCCCCCCACTTCCCATATTTTCCCCTATTTTCTGGGGGATCGACGATTAGTTGTGTCTGTGTTTTTTTCCCTCTTGAAGGGGGGCGTCTGAGCTTCTGCTGCCAAGCCTCGCGGCTGCGGTGTTCATCCGCCTCCTCCTCCGCGCACGACCGGGAGGTGCACACGAGGGGCACAGGGACCCAACGTACCACAATGTCTGGCCGAGGCCGCCCTGGGCGGGCTCCCTCCGAGAAGAGCAACCGCCTGCCCTGCTCTCACAAGGGGGACCAAGGAGGGGGGGGGGATGTCCGCATGCGGGCAAAGCTCGCTGCCCAGACTTGTTGCCCCTCGCTGCCTCCCTGACAGGTGCTCTCGTCGCACGCTGCGCTGCTCGCATCGCTGCCCTGGGGCCCCAGGTTGCTGCGATACTGCTGGTTACGGGCACCGAAGATCAGATTCAGTGTGGCGCTCGCGCGTTGCCCAACTCGTGGCAATGTCGCGTCGTGGCCTCTCTCGCGTAGACCGATTGTGCCCAAGAACTCCTCGGCAGGGGTGCAGTCGGACTGCACCCCTGGAGAGCACACGGCGAGCATCTCGCGCAGAGGTTCTAGCACCATGCACGTCCAGGACAACACTGAAGGGGCCCTGGGACACTCAAATAAATACACATAAAGAACAGGATTCCCCATAATTATGTTTCTATATTTTCTGGGTTGTTGTCTTCCCCCCCCCACTTCCCATATTTTCCTATAGTTTCTTTGGAATCGACGATTAACTGTGTCTGTGTGTTTTGTTCCGCTCCTGAAACACCCCGGCACGCCGCCTCGACGCAGAGGCGCTGATCCGAACGTAAGACGCGTGGTCGTACCTGGCGCCCCTGGGGGGGCACCGCGGCCTGGCTCGAAAACCAAACCTGGTCGGAGCGGGCGAGAACAGCTCCCTCGAGCCCCCCCCCCCGGTCGAAGCCCACCGTTGCTGCACCGCCCGTCCCTCGCGACCTTTCTGCACGGCCCTCTTCAACGCGCGGCCCCTCCCTAGACTCTCAAGCTTCGTGCTGAATGTCTCCGCTTACCTTGGCAAGCGCGTGCCACCACTGCATCATCTCCGTGTCTCCTCCAATGCCTTACCTGGCCTTGCGCCCGGAGCCCTCGCGCCAGCTTGAGGTTCGGAGTGGCCAAATGAGGATCGCGCGGGGGCAGCCCTTGTCACATGCCCCTGGGCACGGGGTCCCGGGGGAAATGAGAGAGAGAGAGGAAGAGAGATAGAACCAACAACAAAAACAGAGAGAGAGAGAGAGAGAAACAACAAAAAACTGCAACCAATGGGAACAACCCTGCTGCAAAGACACACCTCCCGTCCCACGCCTCTCATCATTAACTCAAACAGGTGTTACTCGTCACTACGGCGAGCCCCCGCCAGAATAGCGCGACTCATGGGCCCAAGTGCTGGCGTGCGCTGGTCGCAATTTCGAGTGGCCGATTCCCAAACACGGCCTACCGCCCAAAGCAGCCGGTGGGCGTGCCAGAAAGCCAGCCCAAGAAGAACCATGTCCGTCCGAACCCCCATCTACTCTTGTACCCTCTGGGAAAACGTCAGTATGCATAAATCCTTTCACATGTCACAGCAGGTGGCCCTCCTTATCGCAATGGGTCGCGGGTGGGTCGCGGGGTGGGTCGCGGGCGGGTCGCGGGGTGGGTCGCGGGTGGGTCGCGGGTTGGGTCACTGGGGGGACGACGCCAAACAACAAACAAACAAACAACAAACACACAAGCAACACCAATAACAACAACACCACCACCAACAACAGCAACAACAACAGCAACAGTCATTTTAAGACTGTTCGCCCTAATCTGCTCGAGTGTCCAATAACGCGCGTATTTCCCAACCCCTCGATACCCGCCCTCTTCGTCTTCGATCGAACCCCTTTTGGGGGTATACCTTTCTTCCCTGCAGGCCCGGCCCCGGCAAGCGGCGGGGCGGCCGCGGACCGTCGGCCTGGCCAGCGGCAGCGCTGATCGGCGGGGCGGCCGCGGACCGTCGACCCGACCCCAAGGGGGACGGACAGGGGACCGACCACGACGACGACGACGACGTCGACGACGACGGCGACGACGACGACGGCCACGACGACGACGAGCGATCGCGAGAGAGAATGACAGCAGGGCCACAAGGACACGAAGTAGGCCACGAAGGGCGACAGCGGGGACACGAAGGGAATGCGTATGGGGCCACGAAGGGCGCGAACGAGCGGGGACCACGAAGGGCAGATAATGCGGGGCCACAGAAGGCAGCGATGGGGCCACTGAGGGTAGCAACTGGGCCACGAAGGACAGTGAGGGGGCCACAAACGGCGACAGCGGGGCACAACGGGCACGAACGAGCGGGGGCCACGAAAGGCATACGTATACTGGGCCGCGGAGGGCAAGGACAGGGGGCCACAAAGGGCGACAGTGGGGCCACGAAGGGCATGCATGTGGGGCGACCACGAGCGCGAACGAGCGGGGGCCACGAAGGGCATACATATAGGGGCACGAAGGGCAGCGAGGGGTCCACGGAGGGATGCAACGGGGCAACGAAGGGCAGCGAAGGGGGCAACGAAGGGCTGCAACGGGGCCACGAAGGGCTGCAACGGGGCCACGAAGGTCAGCGAGGGGGCCACGAAGGGCTGCAACGGGGCCACGAAACAAAGCGAGGGGGCCACGAAGGGCTGTAACGGGGCCACGCAGGGCAGCGAGATCCCAATTCCTAGGCAATCTGTGTAGGAGTCCTAAGCGTGAGCGCGACTCCTGGGTGCCTAGGTGTCGGGAGCGCAGCGCTTACGCAAGGGCGCTATTCTTCAGTAAATTGCAAGCAAGTCTCCAGCGACAGCGCGACTCCAGAGCGCCGGGATAACGATTCGGGAATAAATTGTAAGGAAGTCCCAAGCGAGAGCGCGATTCCTGAATCAAATGCGAGGAAGTCTCGGGCGGGAGCGGGGATCCTGGCTGAATTGTGAGGAAGTCTCCGGCGGGAGCCGTTGTTGTTGTAACCCGGGGGCCAGGGGCCCAGTTTAAGCACGAAGACTTCCCCTGTCAAAGAACAAGGTGCGAGCGTTGAGGGGCACACTTTGATTGAGAAAAAACAGTATGCACCAGCGGAGGAGGGATCAACAATAATTATTCTTCAGAAGTGAAAATTCAACAACAACATCAACAATCATTTCAAGACTGTTCGCTCTTACTGGCACGGGTGTTTCGCATTCTGTACACCCCAACCCTCGATACCCACCCTGTTCGTCTTCGATCGCACCCCCTTTCGGGGGGAATATCTTCCTTGCCGACCACTGACTAAAGTGCGAGGAAGTCTCGAGCGAGAGCGCCGTTCCTGAAGTCGGGTGCCTGCCTGGCCAGGCCGGGGGCTCTCGGAATACATTTGGGAAACATCGAACGGGAACCCTTGTCGCCGTGTCTGGGCCTCCACCAACTTGCCAGAATTACGAGAAAATCTGGAGCGAGAGCGCCACTCTTGAGTTCAGGGGACTCTCTGGCAAGGGCCTCAGCGAATACATCTTGAGGAAGTATCGAACGAGAGCCCTTGTCGTCGTAGTTCGGCCTCCACCAACTTGACTGAATTATGAGAGAATCTCCAGCCAAAGCGCCGTTCCTAAGTTCGGGGGCCTTCCTGGCCAGGGACTCTCGGAGTAAATCGTGAGGGGGTATCGAACGAGCGCCCTTGTCGTCGTGGCTGGGCCTCCGCCGACTTGACTGAATTGCGAGGAAATCTGGAGCGAGAGCGCCGTTCCTGAGTTCGGGGGCCTCTTTGGCCAGGGTGTCTCGTGGTAAATTGTGAGGAAATATCGAGCGGGAGCCATTGTCGTCGTCGCCGGGCCTCCAAGGGCCCATTTTTACACTCAAGCCAACGCTCGAGCGGGAGCCTCGCTTTCAGAGAAAATGTAGCTGGCGTCGAGGCGAGAGCGCGCGGAACCGCTTCCGGAAATCAGCAATAATTATGTTCTAAGAATGAGTATTCAACATTCCAACATTACAACATCACAACAAGAACAACAACAACAACAACACCAACAACAATAACAACAACAACGACAACGACAACGACAACGACAACGACAACAACAACAACAACAACAATCACTTTACCCGAACGCTCAGTGTTCTCACCAGTGCCAGGGTTTTCATGCGACGCCAGCCAATACCCCCACTTTGTGGGGGGGCAGTGCAAGCTCTACCAAATATCCACACGACTCTTCGCCACCACCCACACCCAGCTTCCCGCCCTATGACGTTCGGACACTTCACTTCGTGGCCTGCGGACGACCGTGGCTACTACACTGGCGTGGAGTACACACCCACAGAAGTTGTTAGGACAGCGCGCGCGGGTAGAAATTTTGAAAAGTCGTGCAGGTGTTTTTCGAGGACCTACGGTGCGATTCGTGTGATTTTATGATGCGCGGTGCTAAAATTCTTAAGAAGCCCAATGGTTTTTGGAGATTTCGGCGTGCGCGCGCGAAGAAAAAACGAATGTGTCCCGCATGGTATTATTTGACAGGGATGATGGCCCTGGCAGGTGCGCAACCGTTGTCGCAGAAGTTCGAAAAAGTTGCTCGCAAAAGCCCGTTTGACAGAAATGTTTAAAAAGTGTTGGGTTTCCTACGAATCCGCAAGAGCGCGCGGGATGAGATTTTGACATTTTTTTGTTGAAAAACCATTGGTTTTTTTATGTTTTTATGTTAAAATCGCTCCGAACACTAAGCTTTTGGAAGGATTTCGTCTTGCGCGCGCGAATGTCCACTTTACCTTATTTTTTGCAAGGGATTCTTGAAATTTGATTATATTAGAACAAGAAATGTCATTTTATAGTGTTTTTTGCAAGGGAAAACGGATTACAACAAAACAACCGGATCTTGATGACATCGTATTACCTGAGGCTTCCTCACGAAAATGATGAAAATGTAGCTGCGGCCTAGGCGGCGCAGGGGGGCCGTGCACCAGGGGTCCCAACAATCATTATTCTTTAGAATTAATAATGTTCAACAACAACAACAACAACAACGACAGCAGCAACATTAACAACAACAACAACAACAACAACAACACCATCACACACAACAATAACAACAGCAACTACAACAACAGAAACAATAACAATTATGTTAAGACTGTTCGCTCCTATCTGCTCACGTGCCGATCAAAACGTATATCCCGAACCCTCGGTACCCGCCCTCGTCGTCTTCGATCGTACCCCCTTTGGGGTATATCCTCCTTGCCTGCCACGTGTATTTAATGCAGCCCCTTAAACAAGGGAAGAGAGGACGGGCGAAAGGGGGAATGAACAGAATGGAGCACGAGACAAATTAGCAGGAGGGGGGCAAGGATCAGAAAATTATGCTAACGGGGTTCCCCACATAATGATGTTATTGGGATAGCGGAATCAAGGATCATTTTGTCATGAAATTGCCGACCTGCCCTCGCCCTCTCCATCCTTTTCTATCACATGGTTTGCGAATACCCTCCTCGCTCAGGCGGGGCCTCCCTGGAGGCGTGGTAGGGGCACGAAACCTTATACATAACACTGTTTTCGAATAGCGTCCTCGCTCAGGCGGGGCCTCCCTGGAGGGTGGGAGGGGCACGACACCTGATAAATAACAGTGTTTTCGAATAGCGTCCTCGCTCAGGCGGGGCCTCCCTGGAGGGGTGAGAGTGGCACGAAACCTGATAAGTTACACTGTTTTCGAATAGCGTCCTCGCTCAGGCGGGCCTCCCTGGAGGGGTTGGAGGGGCACGGAACCTGATAAATAGCACTGGTTTCGAATATCGTCCTCGCTCAGGCGGGGCCTCCCTGGAGGGGTGGGAGGCGCACGAAACCTGATAAATAACACTGTTTTCGAATAGCGTCCTCGCTCAGGCGGGGCCTCCCTGGAGGGGTGGGAGTGGCACGAAACCTGATAAATAACAGTGTTTTCGAATAGCGTCCTCGCTCAGGCGGGGCCTCCCTGGAGGGGTGGGAGGGGCACGAAACCTGAGAAATAATACTGTTTTCGAATAGCGTCCTCGCTCAGGCGGGGCCTCCCTGGAGGGGTGGGAGGGGCGCATGGTATTGGTATGGTATTGGTATGGTATTGGTATGGAGGGAGGGAGCTCAAACGAAACCTGATAAATAACAGGTGTTGCATGGTATTGGTATGGTATTGGTATGGTAGTGGTATGGTATGGCTTGGT